ATTAAGATTGAAACTAGCAGGACATGTAGACTACACTTTCCTAAGTCTATGGAAAGACTGTAGAGGTTCCAGGTATTCTGTGAATGATTTGCACAAAAATCAAAGTCAAAGAATTCTTATTAAACAAATAATTTTCACGTTGGCATATCTTTGCTTAAACTTCGCACATGAAAACCAAACTTGTTTCTTTATAACAAGCAACTTCTCTCTTAATGGTGCTAGTTACAGCACTGTTTAAGTATTTATGTAAGAGAAATAAGTAAAATAGTATGGGTATCCATTACAGCATGAGGGAAACCATATGATTTCCTACACTTCCGGTGTTCAGAGAAGTGTAGCACCTTCGTGTAGACTGTATATTGTATTCAACTTCACCCGTGACATTACATTTACATAATGTACTGTATGCACTTATGTACACTCATGTACAGTATGGTTTAACAAAGTCTCATTCATTCATGTATGATCCTATAGGATTCTCTCTGTGTGTGTAATTCCAATGTCAAATTAATATTATACCTTGCATGATGTTCGAACCTTAACTCATCTCACATAGTCATACCCCAATTCTCTGTGACAACCAAGTGTCTGGCCAGGCATATACCCTTAGTTGTTTTGTTTAAACTATATTTATACATGTACAACATGCAGAGTACTAAATACAATGTACAATAACCACATGCTATACAAATTCATCTTTTGGGGACAATAACATCATTAGAAACCAATCTATTCGTATCTTGTTATTATAGGAAGGAGATACTGCTCTTATTGCAGCAGCAAGATGGGGAAAGTGTGATGTTGTAGAATTACTGCTGAAGAAAGGAGCTGATCCCTCACATTCAAATGATGTAAGTTATTTTGATTAATATTCATTTTATCATTATTAGAATATATTATTGTTATACGTGCATGTACATGTATAGCTACATGTACATGTATATCGTATCTTATAATTAGAAATTCATGTACTAACTGTTGCCTAAGTAAGGAATGCTAATTAGTATAATAATATTCCTAATTTTTTCACTATGTTGCATGCATAGCTGGGTTCTTATTAAGACTTATAGAGGTCCTCTCTCTATATGATATCTTGCTGTTAGAAAGCTCCCATGTGTAAGCTGCCATTTTGTTTTCTGGTTTCACCCACTTTATGCAAAATTTGTGGGCTGATTAGTAAAGCATCTTAATTGTTATTTGTTCCGATATATTTGCATGTAATATTTGTGTATACATGTACATGTACATCTCATGGGTCCCATGCAGGTCATTAAAATGCAATTAACAAACCTTGTATTCAGTTTCATTAATACCATCAGTAGAAGAATGAGGAGGTAACAGAATTTAAAAATTCTTTTCACCAAACAGTTCAATCACTATCAAGATATTATGGACTGCGGTCCAATTCAATGACACAAGACACTTTGCTGAGTGTCGACCTCAGGGGAGTATCACTTGTGCGTGTGATGTGGATTACTATAAAACTGTTTGAAAAAATCAAAGGCAACACAATTGAACAACAGAATTCAAATGAGAAATAGTTAAGATAATAATTCTAATTAATTAGATCAATGATGTCATAGTCCTTTAGATAGTTAATTGAAATCAGGGGACATGGCCAGACACAGGCAACGGCGGAGTCGGCTGTTGGTAGTCGGGCTTGCCACTCTCCAGTTTGCCTTTGCAGGCAGAGGCCCCATGATTGGCCAGCCCATATGACCAACATTTTTGACTAAACCTGCGTCAGGATGAAGCACAGCCTGTCGCTCAGTTAAATCTTTGGCCGACCTCATCACTCAGTTTGTATGGGCGGGGGCGTCAATCTGCTGGAGTGGGGGAGGGGCCAGGGCACAGTCCTTTTTGTGATGATCATGCGACTGGCAGAGCCAGCAAACTGACCAGCCACCTGGAGAACATTTGCAGTGAGCATTGACAAATTCAGCTCCATTCATGGGAGGTTGTGGCCTGCCCTCGGAGCTGACGGAAGTGAGTGTCGTATGCCAACCCCCGTGTTCATGAGCCAAGTTTAGAATGATCTGGCCATAGGCCATTAGTTCTCCTGACCCCTGGTAATTGACCTTGGCTGCCCCAAAGGTCAGGGGCAATGGAGCCAGGTCTCTACGTCCCCAATCTCTCTGAGGCGGAGAGAAGGGCCGCTCAGCAGTCCAGAGTCTATGACCCTCTGTCATAGGGCAACATTGTCCATTAGCAGATCATGGAAGTCTACGGAGGCGCCCAATCTGATGGCCTCCACGACCTTTCCAAGAACGGGTGGGAGGGGTGAGGGGAGGGCTAGGGGCAGAGTCTTGGAATGACCTTGGTTGGCCAGTGGCATAGCCAGCAGCGTGGCCAAGGAAGGCGGCGCCCCAGCGGGGAGAGAATGGTTGGTGGCTATCTGGTGCTGGAGTGCGAGATGTACCAAGATGGCCACCTGTTGACAAGGTCAGGGCAGAATTCATGAAGGACAATAGGTTGGAACCTATGGAAGGAAGAGTAAAAATAAGCATCATTCTTAGAAGTGGGAATGCCCATAGGGGGGAGCGTCCCCGTTGACTCAATGAAGACCCAGCAGGTTCAATGAGCATCATTCATAGAAGTGTGAATGCCCATAGGGGGAGCGTCCCCGCTGACTAAATAAAGACCCAGCAGGATCAATGAGCATCATTCATAGAAGTGTGAATGCCCATAGGGGGAGTGTCCCCGTTGACTCAATAAAGACCCAGCGAGTTCAATAAGCATCATTCATAGAAGTGTGAATGCCCATAGGGGGATCGTCCCCATTGACTCAATAAAGACCCAGCTGGCTCAATGAGCATCATTCATAGAAGTGGGAGCGTCCATAGGGGGAGCGTCCCTGTTGACGCAATAAGACCCAGCGGGTTCAATGAGCATCATTCATAGAAGTGGGAGCGCCCATAGGGGGAGCGTTCCCGTTGACGCAATAAGACCCAGCAGGTTCAATGAGCATCATTCATAGAAGTGGGAGTGCCCATAGGGGGAGCGTCCCCGTTGACGCAATAAGACCCAGCGGGTTCAATGAGCATCATTCACAGAAGTGGGAGCGCCCATAGGAGGAGCGTCCCCGTTGACTCAATAAAGACCCAGCGGGATCAATGAGCATCATTCATAGAAGTGGGAATGCCCATAGGGGAAGCGTCCCCGTTGACTCACTAAAGACCCAGCGGGTTCAATGAGCATCATTCATAGAAGTATGAATGCCCATAGGGGGAGCGTCCCCATTGACTCAATAAAGACCCAGCGGGTTCAATGAGCATCATTCATAGAAGTGGGAATGCCCATAGGGGGAGCATCCCCATTGACTCAATGAAGACCCCATGGATTCAGTGAGGAGTATGAGTGGTGGGGGCGCCCACTGGTGGAGTTGAGTTGGGGAGGGTGCGACTCCTCCCAAGTGTAGTTGCCCCACCCCAAAGGAGAGGGGAGAGAAGGAGAGGAGAAGAGGATAAGAAATAATAATAATAACACAACATTACCAATAAAATAATAATAATAATAACAATAATAAGAATAGAGAGAGAGAGAGAGAGAAAGGAAGAGGGGTGGGGCAAGGGGAGTGTCCCAAGCAGTTCCAGCATAGCAGGGACATCCCATCAGAGTGACAAAATGGTGCTACAAACTCAAAAGGGGGGTGTCACAGGCTAATAACAACATTTGTCAAAGAGGCAATGAAAAAGTAAGGGTGGAATAAAAAAATGAGGGGCCTAGCGGTAACCCCACCAATCAACAACCCCCAAAGGATAACAGTACTTGATGTACCTGAAGAAATACAAGCTGGGCATAGAATAAGATGAGAAGCTGGTACACCTGGAGCAGCTGTGGTTGTGATGGACACTGGGATGCTGGCAGGAAACACAGGGAGAGCTGGGCTCATGACTGCCGACAGGTACTGGGGCTGAGGACGCTGGTACAATGAAAGGCAGTCTGCTCATTACAGAAGATGGATAGAAGATGGAGGAGTCCCCTGGAGAGCTCCGTGCGAAAGATATTCCACACCAAGGGGACCCAGGAACTGAAGATCCTTCAGGGTGAGGGAAGGAGATGATGCAGTGGTTGTAGTAACGGTGCTAGAGCTGGGAGCACTGGCGCCACTGCTGGCCGCGGTAGAGGTTTCACTGGTAGACGTCGCGGGTGATGGGATAGGCGTAGTCATCTTGAAGAAGATGGGTGAATGATGAATTGATGATACAGGTGTAAGAAGTTGTTTCTAGATGGATCCGGAACTCTCTGTGTACTATTGTAATTATATATTATGTGTTTATTCAAGTATATTCTAGAACAATCATGTAAAGTATTCTTGTATGTTATAGAACCTTCTGGACATTTATAATATCTATATAAGTGTGTTGTTAGTTAGTTGTGAGTTTCGTGTTGATTAAGAATAAAGTTTGGTTAACAGATAGTTGGAGCGTCTGTTACATTTTTTGGTGGCAGCGGTGGGATAGTTCTCAAACGGTTGTAGAGGAAAGACCCACTATTGTATCTCTGCAAGAGAGAGAGACTAAAGTTTATAGTGTCTGGTGTGACTGTTTATGTCGGA